AATCTCTATCAAAGCATTGTTGGCACCTTACAATAGCTTACCATCACTCAACCTGATCTGTCCCTAGCTGTTAATCAAGCATGCCAACATATGCATGCTCCTACTATTGGGAATTTTGTTGCAGTAAAAAGGCTTCTCAGATTTGTGCAGCGTACTCTCACACATGGTTTGACATTGTTTCCTAGTATCTCTGATGTTCATGGTTTCGCAGATGCTAATTAGGCTGGAGACATTTATGATCGAAAATCAACTTTTGGGTATTGCATTTTTTTGGGCTCAAACCTAGTGTCTTGGTCAACCAAGAAACTAGCCACTGTCTCATGATCCTCTACAGAGGCTGAATATCGAGCTTGAGCTCATACAGTTGCAGAGTTAAGTTGGATTTCTATGTTACTTACTGAGCTCGGTATCTCTTCTCCTACTACTCCTATCCTTTGTTATGACAATCTTTCCGCAATAGCCTTGGCCTCAAATCTTGTGTTTCACTCTCGTTATAAACATATTGAAATTGATTGTCACTTTGTGCGTGATAAAGTGTTTGCCAAACACCTTACCCTCATATATATTCCTACTATTGACCAACTAGCTGATCTATTCACCAAGCCTTTGGCTATCTCCAGATTTCAGCATCTCAAAAACAAGCTCATGGTCATCAATCAGCCCATCAGCTTGAAGGGTGATGTTGAGGATACTGATTCTGATGCTAAAGCCGCAGCTCAAACATCAACCATAGCTCAAGTCTCAACATATGCTTAACCCATATCCAGCTCATCAAAGCAGTTAGAAGGCTGTTATAACCAACTGATTAGAGCACATGTATAAAATAGATATATAGCATAATCATCTAGAATGTAATGAAGTGTATGAAGTGTTGTATATATATAGAAGAGATGTTGTATCATTGTAATCGAGTTTGAAAGTTCAGTAAAGGAAATGGATTGAATCATGGTTTTCTTCACGGCTGTGGGGAAAGTATACAGTAAAGATACGTGATTCAACGAGATATGGGATTAGGGTTTGGCTCAGAACATTTAGTACTACAGAGTAGGCTACTTTGGCCTATGATGCATTGGCAATAATAGGCCCGATGGCTCACCTCAACTTTCCAATGGAGAGAGTCCAAAAATCACTTCTCGGCGTCAATTGCAACTACAATGGTGGCTGTGGCTATAGGTGTGGCTCAGGTTCCTCCCCAGTTGAAGTGTTGAAAGAGGCACACAAGATGATAAAGAAGCTTTCAAGATGAAGTAGAAAAACCAAGAAATTACAAATCAAGAAGATGTGGTGGGGTTTGAGGACCTCGGTGCAGATTTGCTTGATGAACTCGTTAGATTAACTGAGAGTGCTAATAGTTAGCTCCACCTAATGCAGTATATGCATCATAGAATCATACTTTCATTATACAGTATTGCAACAATTCAACTTTCACCTCAAAGATTGCTTTCTAAGTTGGTTTGATCACATTAAATTTTTATTTATTTTTTTTTTTAAATTTAAAAAAATATAATTTGTACCTAATTGTTGTAGCATCAACTAACCACGATCAATGGGTTGAATCACCAAAGTTTTACAAAATTTCATGGTGCAGTTCTTTGTCACTAGTATGTGTGTGTCAATGGAAACAAAATATAGTAAGTGTAAGCGTGACATCACATACTGGCTAATAAATAGTAATAAATGGGAGGTGGACATGCCATGTATCTCTTTGACCCAATAATATTGAAGATAAATTGAAATAGAACAGCTGTAATTTAGTAAGCTTCTTTTAACTAAAAGTGAATCCTTAGCATAATTATATCAAATAAATTATGAAAAAATTATTTGATTCAATCTTGAAATTTATAGATAAACTATTAAATATAAATTTGAGTTTTTTTTTTTTTTTTGAATAATTAATATCAAATTCATGTATTTTAAATCCACATCTATCCAACCGAAATCTTAAAGATACATTAATATCACATCTAAGTTTTACATGTATAATATATTAATGCATGCGCGAGCGCAGACTTGATTTGGGTGCTTTATTTACTTTTAATATTTGTGCTCAAGTGTTTTGACTGTGGTTAATTTAGTTTAATCATAATTAATCCGTAATTCTTCTGTCAAAAGGTGGCATTAGCATCATAGTAAACTATACATTATATACCAATTGTCGAAAGAAATATGCAAAAAAAATTAAAATAAAATACATGATAGTTATTTATTATTAGATACACACATCTTTTTATGACTTGGGCTCGCCTTTTGATGGCACGCCTTTTGATGGCACGCCTTTTGAAAAATTGAGCGCACCTTTTGAGGATGCGATTCTACAAGGGTCCGACAAGACTTTGTAAACTGTCCCGACATTGATTCCGGTTAGTTTCTACAAGGGTCCAGCAAGACTCCGTAAACTGTCCGACATGACCCCGTAAACTGTCCTGCTACATCGGTCCGACATGACCCCGTAAACTGTCCTGCTACATCGGTCCGACATGGCCCCGTAAACTGTCTTCTACAACGGTCCGCCATGACCCCGTAAACTGTCCTGCTACCACGGTCCGACATGACCCCATAAACTGTCTTCTACAACGGTCCGACATGACCCCATAAACTGCCTTCACCAATGGTCTGACACGACCATACAGTGTCTCCTATCCTTTTTTTTTATTTTTATGTATTTTCTTGTTTTGTTCCTCTCTTCAAACTAAAGTTGGTTAGTTTCTATCCTTGGTGTAGTGGGTTTAGTGGAGTAGGTGAGGTGGTAGTGGTGTAGTGGGTTAGGTTTAGTGGGTGAAGTAGGTGATAGGTTTTAACACCTCATATCCTTCCCTTCCATTTGATAATCCTAATCTCTATCAAAGCATTGTTAGCACCTTACAATATCTTAACATCACTCAACCTGATCTATCCCTAGCTGTTAATCAAGCATGCCAACATATGCATGCTCCTACCATTGGGAATTTTGTTGCAGTAAAAAGGCTTCTCAAATTTGTGCAGGGTACTCTCACACATGGTTTGACATTTACTCCTAGCACCTTTGATGTTCATGGTTTCTCAAGTGTTAATTAGGATGGAGACATTTATGTAAAAAAAATCTACTTATGGGTTTTGTATTTTTCTTGGCTCAAACCTGGTGTCTTGGTCAGCCAAGAAACAAGCCACTGTCTCAAGGTCCTCCAAGGATGGAGGTTGAATATCGAGCTTTAGCTCATACTGCTACAAAGTTAAGTTGGATTTCTGTTTTACTTATTGGGCTTGGTATCTCTTCTCCTACCACTCCTATTCTTTGGTGTGACAATCTTTCTACAATAATCTTGGCCTCAAATCTTGTGTTTCACTCTCATTCTAATATATTGAAATCGATTATCACTTTGTGCGTGATAAAGTGCTTGTCAAACACCTTACCCTCAAATACATTCCTACTATTGACCAACTAGCTAATATGTTCACCAAGCCTTTGGCTGTCTACAGATTTCAGTATCTCAAACACAAGCTCATGGTCTTCAATCTGCCCATCAGCTTGAAGGGGAATGTTAAAGATACTAATCCTGATGCTAAAGCCACAACTAAAGCCATAGCTCAAGCTATAGTTAGATCATCTGCATGTGCTCAAGCCATATCCAGCTTATCAAGGCAGTTAAAAGGCGGTAATAACCAACTAATTAGAACACGCGTATAAAATAGATATATAGCATAATCATCTAAAATGTACTGGAGTGTATGAAGTGTTGTATACATATAGAAGAGATGTTGTATCATTGTAATCAAGATTGAAAGATCAATAAAGGAAATGGATTGAATCATGGTTTTCTTCAAGTGACCACTATTAGATCGTTGACTGGAGAGACAAGTGAATTTTCAATTACGATGGGGGTACACCAAAGATGAACCTTAAGTCCTTATCTTTTTGCTTTAGGTATGGATGGGTTGACGAGAAATATTTAGAATGATGTGCCATGGTGTATACTTTTTTCATATGATATTGTGTTAGTGGATGAGACTAGAGAATGAGTTGACACTAAATTGGAGACTTGGAGACGAGCATTTGAATCTCAAGGATTTAGAATTTAGGATAAGCAGAATTAAGGTGGAATACATGGAGTGTAATTTTAATAATAATAACAACGGAAACAGAGAAGAAGTGAAGATTGAGAATCAAAAACTATGTAAGAGTGAGCTTTTTCATTATTTAAGATCAATTATCACAACAGCTGGGGAGATTAGAGCAGATGTGGTTTATAGAATTAAGACAGGATGGCTTAAGTAGAAAAGTGCGTCTGGGGTACTGTGTGATAAACGAGTACCTACTAGATTAAAAAGGAAGTTTTATAGAACGACTATTAGACCAGCGATGTTGTATGGGACGGGATGTTGGGCAATTAAAAAATATATAAATAAGATGAGTGTTGCTGAGATAAGAATGCTAAGGTGGATGTGTGACAAAACTGGAAAAGACAGAGTTAAGAATGAGTATTTCATGAATGGATATGAGTAGCACCGATAGAAGATAAGTTAAGAGAGAATAGATTGAGATGATTTGGTCATATACAACGAAGACCAATAGAGGCAGTAGTGAAGTGATGCAATATAGTGACGGTAGAGGAAAGTATTAGATGAAAGAACTGACCTAGATTAACGTGGGCTACTGTAATAAATAGAGATATGACGTGGGCTAACCAAATGGCTTTTGATAGAATTGAATGGAGAAGAAAGATTCATATAGCCGACCCCATTTGATAGAACTTAAAACTTGGTTTCATTTGGTTTGGTTTTTTTATCCTATGTCCATTTATATCTTCCCCTTGCTTAACATTTTCATTTATGAAGATCATAATATTGTGGATAAGTTTTATGTACAAAAATTATGTTGCAAATCATTTTCTTGTCATCTTTCATAAAATCTAACTTTCTTCTTGTAATAATATAATTTATTTTACAAATTAATCCTCGCAAATAATTTACAATTTTTTAATTTTTTGAAATTAAAATGTAATTGTTGGTGGTGTGGCTAGTAGGTGATTGATCTGAAGACACAATTGAAGAATTTTGAAGCGGTGGAAAAAGCATTAACAGAGAAGTTAGGAGAAAAGGGAGCTAAGAAGTTGATATCAGAAGCTGTTTATTTCATTAGCATTGGAAGTAATGATTATATGGGTGGTTACTTGGTCAATCCAACAATGCAACAACTACATCACCCTGAAGAATATGTTGGGATGGTCATTGGGAACTTGACACAAGCAATCCAGGTCAGCATTCACGCTTACAAGAAACCATATTTGTCATCGAATTTATTTTATTGTGAGATAATAAAGCAATACAGATCAAAATAGAAATAATCCTTCAAAACAATTGCCTATTCTAGTCTAAATATTCAAATGAAGAACAAGAATTTAGTATTTTCTGAACCCATAGTTTCATATATATATATACTATTATACAAAGTCTACACATGAGTTGGTGTAAATTGTCACTTTTTTTTTTTGGTTTTCTCAAACTATCCTGTGTAAATTGTCACTTTTTTTGGTTTTCTCAAACTATCCTCATGTAAGTGTCTAACTTCTTGCCTCATGTAATCACTCATATCAAAATTTATAACTCCTTTACAGTTTCAATAGCCCACCCATCGAGTGTGCACACATCACTAATATATTATATAAAATCTATAACTGAGTTGATATAGATATATCACTTTTTTTTTCTTTTTTTTCTTTTTAATTTCTAAAAATAACCACATGCGAAGTTACATAAAAATAAGGGCGATGATACCATAGATTGAATCTTTAACTACTTTGATTGTAGATTTCATAACACAATATTTTCAAGAGTAAATTATAGTAAACTTGTTAAACTATGATCCATTTGTATTCTGCTTCTATGAATTTCAAAACTCAACAATTAATAATAATTAATTACCTTGAAGTATTATCTTGTTACACTTAACCACTTCTATTAAGATTCTATTAGAGGTTGAAACGAAATCAGATCATGTATGAAGTAAATGACACACTTGTTGAATTTTTAAATGTCCTTATTTAATGATCCCATTTACACTTTACTACTAAGATAAAGGAGACAAAATGCAAATGAGATCACCAGATTAGGACATTATTGTCCTAAAAATTGAAGGCGTCATGTGTTAAGATTCTATTTAAATCCCTAACAAAATCTTAACAGAAAGGGTTAAGTGTAACTATTAAAGTTTAGGAGGACAAAGTGCAAACGAATCAAAACTTAAGATGGTTTATTGTAATTTACCCTATTTTCATTTGTACAAGATAGTGTACTTCCCATTCTAGTATATATAACTCAAGCATTGTACAGCTTTATTTGTTTATGGGCCATGCCATGCCATTTCATTAAATTTTTATTTTTATTTTTGGTGAAGTAACATGAAATATTTTGATGGTATATAACAGTTCTCATCTTACTAATTGACTGTGAGATTAATACATTGCTGAGGCTATAATATGATTATTGGTAATGATTCAGGAATTGTATGAGAAAGGGGGTAGAAAATTTGGGTTTCTAAGCCTATCACCTTTGGGTTGCTTACCAGCACTGAGAGCAGCAAACCCTAAAGGCAATGAAGAAGGAGGTTGTTTTGAAGAAGCCTGTGCCCTAGCACTAGCACATAATAATGCTCTCAAAGCTGTCCTCACCAGCCTTGAACATCTATTTAAAGGTTTCAAGTATTGCAACTCCAATTTCTATGTCTGGCTTGAAGATAGAATTAATAATCCTTCTAAGTATGGTATGTATATATTCCCTATATCTCAATTCCTCAAATCCATCCTTTATTCTTCTAGGAATAATGTTACATAAATTAATAAATTTACAATTTTTATTACTTGCATGAATTGTCTTTATCACATATAAACATGGTAAAGATCTTAAAGTTGAAAATGTCATGTGCAATTTAGATAATTGGGTTTTATTTAGAAATGTCGAGTATTTAGAGAAAGAAAAAAATACTCAGAAAAAGTGTGCAGAATTTGAATGTATATTGTACATTTAAACTTGGATCACAACGAGAATAAATCTGGTTTACATAATTTAAATTTTAGAACTTTTCTAAATACATTTCCTCAATATGTAACAGAGTTTCATTAATTTGATACTTCTATCTAGTAAAATTGTTATAAAAACTACACAATTAAATCTAGCTATTTGAGCCTGTAATGCACTGTGGAACCTATAATCAAGTAATTATATGATTAAATGATGTGCATTCTTGCAAAGCATTATTATGATCATAATGAACCTTTGTAATACATTTAGTTGGAAACAGCACTGCATGTACCTCAAATTTTTTTTTTAGAAAAGTACATAATTTAATTTGAACACGTCAACTTTAAATCTACACTATTAAAACCTTAGCAGCCAATGTCAACTGCAAGAAGATCCCACACTCTTCGTCTTTCATCGTACTTGATTTCTTTCCCCAAAGAGGCTGGGGGCGAATTGTAATTTTTTTACTAACTCAAATTTCCTTCAGATTTCCATTACATCTTAGTCTAATTTAAAATGTTGTTTTTAATCTAACTACCAAATTTGAAATGATTTGAAAACTTTTTGACTATTTTTTCTGTATATTTTTTTTTTATTTGCAAAAATGATAGATACAAAAGGGCATATCTTTCCTGGTCATGTAGCTAATTCAAGCCACATATGTTTATTTATTTATTTATTTTATTGTGAAGGGTTCAAGGAAGGGATGAATGCATGTTGCGGAACAGGACCCTTTAGGGGTTTATTCACATGTGGAGGAACAAACAAGGTGACAGATTACCAATTATGTGATAATGCAGATGATTATGTATGGTGGGATTCTTTTCATCCAACAGAGAGGATCCATGAGCAATTTGCAAAGGCTCTCTGGGATGGACCCCTTGACTATGTTGGACCATACAACCTTCAACAACTCTTCTTCTTCAACAAGCTCACCAGTATTGCTGACTTGGTTGATGATCCTGAATCAGATACTCAGCAGATTTACTAATACATAATTAGCAACATGTAACCCCTAATGCCAAAGAGAATGTTACCACTTTGAACTTGTTTAAATAAAATATTTCTATGGTCAAATATGTGTTTTGTGTTGGTTTGGTTCTCAAAGTTTTGACTTTGTCAATTTAGTCCTAAAAACGTTTTAGTTTGAGTCAAATTGATTCAATTTCAAACAGTGCATTAAAATTGTTAATGAAATGGTACTACAACATTTTGTTACTAATTTTATCAGCTTGTTTGAAATTGGGTCGATTTGACTCAAATTAAAAATTTATGAAATAAATTGACAAAATTGAAACTTGAAGGATCAAAATGACACGTAACATATGGCTTAAGGACTATATGTGTATTTTACACTTTTGTATTATTATGGAAATGTTGTTTGTGACCTAGGGTCATGGGTTCGAAACACAAAAGTTTGTATACATGTGTGGGATAAGATTGCAAACATCTAATCCTTCTCAGGCCTTACAATAGTAGGCATTGGGCTTCATTTTAAGCCATGCTTAATTGTGTAGTAAATAAATCTATGCGTTCATGATACACATATTGGTAGTCAGCTTATCTACTGAAAATGCCTTTTTTCATGGGTATTTATGTTTCGAAGGGAAAGAAAAATCCTGAACACCACTATTGCGTTCTCAAACATAGTTGTGGATCCAGGATAGTTGGCTCTATGATATAACTCCTTATGTTGTAATGTTGTTTTGTTTAATAAATCAAATTCTTATTTTTGCCGCCAAAAAAATATATATTAGCACTCTTTTGTGGCAAAATAAACACAATTATTTACATGTTAAGATTTCAGTGACTCACTCATTGCATTGTATTTAGCTAAAGCATAATGATGATCTATGTTTGCCAATTAATAACATTTATTGCATAACTCTTGTGAATGGAACTGAAGTAATATTTTTTTTTCGTATGATGTGTTTTAAATATTTAAAATTACTTATCACATGTTAAGGTATCAGTGGATAAACATAATTTCAAAGAGAGAGTTGAGGATAGAATAATTCTTCTAAAAATGCAGACAGAGACATGCACACTTGAATTGAATTGCAAATAAGCCATATGGTAAGTGAGGTAAGTCATACTAATAGTACAAAGCTAAAAAAGGCAATAATATTATTAAGTACTAATTAGTGAGAAGAATCTAACAAGCTTTCATATGAATATGCTATGCTACCACATTTTAGTGACTATTTAACATGACCAAAAAAAAAAAAAAATACATTGACTAGACAAAATTTTAGTGGCTATTTACCATGGAGTGAAAAAAACCAATAAAAAGGGAAGGAGATTCACCCTCTCTCACTTGAATGAATAAATTTATTTTTCATTGAACAGGTCTTGTAGTATGTGATGTGGAATTCACTTTGTGAGTAATTTAGGCAAAAACTTTGTTGGTGTCTATAAGTTTTTTTTTTTTTTTAGGGTAATTACATATCAATGGAATTTTTTTACAAATATGATGAAAAACTCTATAATTTTAATTATTAGTATTTATATAAAAAAAATTACTAATTTGTAATTATTTTTTCAATAGTCAATTGATTTGATTTTTTTTTTTTCTGAGTTTAGATATGAACACTTTCTTAATTATAGTTAAATATAATTTTATTTCTTAATTTTAAAATTATACATTTGTATTACTCTCCTATTGATTGAAAATAAAATAAAAATAAAAAGATAAGGGAGGGCCGAAAATGTTCTTTTACCCTCTAATCTGGAGGAGAATTTAGAGTGCTGCTAAATGTCCCTACCTTCTATTTTGGACCCTCCCACTTCTTTGACCTCCCATGTTCTAAAAGTGTTATCTCCCTATATTTCAAGTAATTCTATTTTCACACACTAATTTATCACTGTGTACACACTTAATGAAACATGATTTTAATGACAATTATACCCTAAAACAAAATGGCCATAATAGATATCAAAACACAATCTTAATATTAAATCAAAGTTTTTTTTATACATATATTTTAAAAACAAAAAATCTCAGTGCACATTTTTTTATTAAAAAAAAATTAAACCCTAATTTCTCCATTGTTTCTCACTTACTCTATTGTCCGTCGCTTGCTACACACTCTATTGCCCTCTATTACTTGCAAAGCAATACTCTCATAACAACGCTATCTACGTTCATACTTCATTGGTTATATCATTTTCTCATTAGAATCCACCATCATTCTTGATTTTTGTGATGAAAGATTTGCAAACCAATAGAAGTTCAAATTCAAGTAAAAATATGTCTGGTTACAACAATACAGTGATAAAAAAGTGAGTTTTTTTTTTTTTTTCATTTGCAATTTTTCATTAGAAGAAGGTGTAATTGAATGGTGGTGGTGGTTAAGAGGGCTTGTTGTTCTTGACAAAAATGCTTGGGTTTGTATCGATGAGTGTCAGGTGTTTGATATTTGAGAGAGTTTGTCATTATTTTGGTTTGGTGGGTTGGCTTCAATTTATACACACAATGATGTCCATGTCTAATCCCAATTAGGCGGGAATTGCAATTCTTGTACAACTGGGCAACTATCGTTCTAGAATGATAAGGCCTCATTTAGATAGAGGGTATTTTAGTTAAAAATTAAAAATGCAATGTAGGTAGAGGGTCTTTAATAGAGTCTTCAACAGAGGGTTTTCACTATGTCTTCAATGTGGGTGGAACCGAAAATGGGTGTGTGGAAAATGGATTTGGAATTTTGAACATATATGTGGAAGAGGAGTTTAGGTGGTGTGTGCACAAAGAGATGAGTTAAGGGTATAATTAGAACATTTGGTGTGTAGATTGAGAACAATAATATATAACCAAATTGATATAAGTGTGCGTACTGAGAAATGATATACATAGAGATAAATAGGTGTATAGAATTAAAATTACCCTTATATTTCTTTAGACCCAAGTGTATTTCCAACTTTACCCATTTTCTATGCCCCCTCACCCTTTTCCCTTCTTCTTCCAGTAGCCTTCATTTCTTACTATTTTTCCACTATGAGATGGGCATAAAATTTAAGTTTGATGTTAAGACAAAAATTAAAATAAAATAATGGGGGGTCCAACGTAAACATGTAGAGACATTTAGCACTACTCAAGAATTTATCATACTCTTTTGTAGAGACATTTAGTATTACCTCCCCATGAGATACAATAGAGGGCTGCTAAATTGTAACAACCCGACCCTCATATATGCTTGTGATATATGTTTGTCCTTTATTCTGTGTTGTTAAATGACTAAGATGAAGCTGTACAAGGGAATAAGTTCAAGTAACTATGTTGTAATGTCTTGTGGAATGAATTGTATCTGTTAGGAAAGAAATGTATCTGTTACTACTCGAACGATAAAGTTGAAATTGAGGGCCTTAGCGGCTTAATAAATCAAAATTGATCATATATTTGGAACCAGCATAATTTTTAGGTAATATTAAGCACTTCTGTGAAATTTCAATTTCGGATGTGTAAACGATAGATTTTCGTCTTATTCTCTCCTTATGGAAATATATGTATATGATCTTGGTCATTTGACAAACAAAAGAACTCATAACTCTAGACTTGAGAAGTGAAGGGATAGAGAAAGAAGGTCCTCAAGAAGGTTGAGATTTGGGCTTAAGGTATGTAAATGTTTGTCTAGTTTCCATCCACAACCCTTCTTGTCATAATTTATGTGAAGATGTTTCTATAATCTTGTTCCTAAGAGTTGGAATTGTAGTGATGTGAGTATGAGAAGTAGTAAATTAGCAAGATGATCTTACCTTGCATGTTTTGACTCAATTTGAAGTATCTATGAGAAACTTTATTCTATTTCTTCAATTGACTTGTTTGAATTCAAGTGTGTGGCATGATTTTATGTTTATGAGTTGAGATGTGAGAACAAGTAAGAACCTTGTGAATGGGAGTGAAGTTAAGTTGTGGATTCATGATTTGATTTTTATTCAAATGAAATATGTAATTTGATCCTTGTTCACATGAATTCATATGCTTTGAGCTTATATATATATTTGTAATTTAAAGCTGGATTTGGAAGCCCTAAACATGTCTACTAGGGGAAGAAATTATGCAGAATTTCGGACTTTTGGTGCAGAATCGCCGCACGTGCGGGGCCTAAGGCCGCACGTGCGGGAGTCACTGCCGCACGTGCGGGAAAATGGCAAAATTCTGGACTTCAACACTGCAAAAAAGGCACGTGCGGGGCCTCAATGCCGCACGTGCGGAAGGTGTGCTGCATGTGCGGGAGATCCTAGCCGCACGTGCGGCTCAAGCCAGAAAAGTTGGGATGCTCCGTTTTGCGTGTTGGGTCCTCTAATGTTGTCAAAACCTGCAATTTATATTGTTTGAATGTTCGTTAATTCAATCAAAATAAGTGAACCGAATGTCGATTTAACAAGGATAAAAGGGACTAATGTGATTTTTCATGTGTGTAGGAAACGCCCCAAAAGGAAGTGCACCGACACAACACAGTGAGTGATAGTACTTTAATGTATCTCTACTCAGTATTTATGTTTATTGACGTTGTGACCCTTGTTGAAAGTTTTATCATATTATGTATTGACGTTATATCTTGACGTTACGAACTTCACTATCAAACTTGTGTTGGTATGAAATGATATATTTGCTATAAGTGATTCAATACAAAATTGTGGAAACATTGAAAAGGGTTGTGAAGTTGTACACATCTTATGTGGAAGCTTGTGACTAATGGAATGTATCAAGGCAATTGTGAATTGTGAATTTGTGAACCAATGTGAACGGATATGCAATGCTTATTTCCAAATTAGGCAATCTAGTCTATACTTGTTTGCTGTGCGCATAAAATAAAAAAATAAAAAAAAAAATCTAAGAGTATAACTATAAATTAATCTGTTTACAACTAATAATCAGAAGCAAGGGGTGAGCAGCTTCTCAGAATCAGTTTTTTGGAGTTAAAATAAATTGTTAGAATCAGAAACTGTTTAAAATAAATTTAACCAAACAGTCTAAAATAACTTTTTCAAAACTAAAAGGTTTAAGTTTACTCAAAAAAACCCAAACAAACAGTGCAACTCAAAAGTTTGTGGGAGTGCAACTCTGAGTCGCACCCCACTTTGTGTAATTTTTTTTTATTAAGATGTAATTTCCCTTAATAGTTATATGATGGGGACAACCACACACACCAGCACACTAAGAGAAATTATCGTATGAGTCCGAAAACTCCACGTAGTCATATATTTGTTTAATGGTATTTTGTGATTTTTCTACCTTTTTCTTATTTATCACACTATATAATCATTTAACCCCTAATATTAAGTAACACATAATTAACATGAAATTCCAAACAGGCTTAGAAGAATACTTGCAGACTATACAGCAACTGAAACAAATGAATAATAGAGGGCAAAATTTCCAATGCACACCCTCAATTACTTTGCAAATGTGTTTGAAGTTATAGCGTAATGTGTTTAAGGTTAGGTAATCAACCAGGAGGTCGATCTTAGCTCGATGTCGTCACACTTTTGTCAGCCTAGGCACAGCCAAGCTTGGAGTCGAGACCCTACTTTTGTGGAGTTGTTAG